CTCCTATCGATTTGCAGGGACATCGACGGTATCGTTCGTGTTTAGTCTTATATCGTGCTTCGAAACAAACCACCTTGTCCAGTTAAGGACGGGCTTGGTTTTAAACCCGACAACAAAAAGTGCGATTCTTTTCATCCCTCACACCTCGAACCCGAAGTTCAAGAGGAACTCCACCATGGCCAGATTCCCATAGGCTGCAGCCCAAAACAAGGGCGTCTGTTGATTGTCATCCACTTGCTCGAGGTCAACGCCCTGTCTGATGCAGAGTTTCGCCAGCAGAACACAGCCGCGGCGGCGTCGAGCTGCTGCAAAGAACAGCATATTTTGCTTGAGGCTGCTGTGCAGCCAAGACATGTTGACTTTCGCCAATGCCTCTTTGGCCTCAGCTAGGTCTGCATCTCTCACCTTTTCGAAAAGCCCGTCTCGCTCCTCGCCATCCGCCACGGTGGCAGTATGTTGGCTCATGTCTGTGCCTGTGACACAAGTTAAGCCAAAACATCTTGCATGGGAAGGTAGGCGATCAGAAGCGCGTTAGGGTGCGGTGGCTCTGGGCTTGGGAAGGTCGCGAAAGGTTACAGGGGCTGGGACATTGAGCTTGACGTTGATCAAAGACGATCTCTGTGTATGGGCACAGTCTCTGCAGCTTCAATCAAGCAACCACCACATACCCCCGCTGTGGTGGGACCACATGGGACCGACCTTCCTTGTAGTACCCGATCATGTGCGTACCGTTATCGAACAAGGCATGGATGTGCCCCGCGGGTTTCGGGTTTAGGGTTTAGGCAGTTCAAGGATGATTCCTTATTGACCAGGCTAACTTCCAGGCCAAAAGATTGCTCTGAATCCAATTCCTGTTCACGCACATCTGCATCAGATTCTGGCGAAACTGCGCATAATCAGCACAGCTCAGGTCGGCTCAATCATTTCGCACGACCACTCGCGGACTTGTATACGTAATGCTCACAAAAACATCCAAAGAACATAACCTCTCAATGTCTCTCAATTTTTGGAGCACATACATATTTCCCCGCCAACAATCCAAAGTGTGCTGGACTCAGCTACTGAGATATTCTTGGGTTTCTCACGATTTCATTTATTTCTCGATCAGAGGCTTGCTTTCCTTGCCCCAATTCCCAGATGGCAAAGAGTTTCCTTGTTGAAGCACCAGTTTATGTGGTCTCCGGTCATGGAGAAGCTCGCTGTCTCTTCTGGCATCTGTTGAGTGCAGTGAGCATTGCTGGCGGCTGCGTGCTCAGCGACCTCACCGCGAAAAGGGAGCCCTTTCCGTGTTCGTCGCGATTCGAAGAAAAGGGCCATCTTCCTGATTTTTGAAATGAGCTTCAAATCCCATGCTATGCTTCCGGCAGCTCTTGACTGTGACGATATCAGTCTCGTCCAGGTCGAGTCACTTCAGGACGGCTCGTTCCGACTCAGAAAACAAAGTTCAGCTGCAGGGCTGACGCCAGGACATATTACACTGCATCGTATTGCAGTAGAGTGGAGTATAAGACAGCCTCATACCCTTGCAAGTGCTTTTGGTGTCGGAGTTTCGGTGCTCTTGGCTGTGGCTCGGCTAGGATCAACATAAACGAGCCACACAGAGGAGTTGAGCTGAGAGTCATGCCCCCATGCTTCCCGCGAATGGCACCTTGCCTATAGGGAGGGTGCCATCTCTGAGGTAGTTGAGGATGTGGTGGAACTGCCTGACCATGGCCAGCTTGCATGCCCGTCGTGGAGAAGTCAGAGAACATGTCGATGCCTCCCATCGCGGTCGATGAAGAAGCAGCCATCGGCGTCTCGAAGAACCTTGCAACAAAAAAGGAAGGGGCGGCAGACAGAAAACGCGAGCACCGGGCTCCCGGCAGGAAGCTTGCCACTGAACATCAGACCCAACCTTAGCAAGCTTCCAGACACGTGTTTTCCCATCCTTCCCCAATTTCTGAGGTCCGGGCATGGAGTCGGAGTCCATCTGCAAGGTGGCCAGGGTAGTCATCAGCTTCCGACCGCCCTAGGTTGCAGAGCGGCACGGCCAAAGGAGCCGCTGGTTCATTCTCACATAGCCCGTCAAAAGTGGTGTGCGCAAGCACAAAAGCAACTTGTAATATTGAAGGGTCTGGGAAAGGGTTTACTGTAAGGTTCTGTGAGGTTTAGGCTATGGCAGAGCGGCAAACCCATATCGGCCAAACGGCTACGTGATTGGTGTAGATTGGCAGAATGTAGCTGTGGCGTTGAGGTTGTTGAGAAAGAAAGCATTCAAGGACAAGCCCAAACTAAGTCCGAACTGCCGGTAATGGTACCAACCAGATCCCACATGCTCCGGAGACCCCGCCACATTCAGGCGGACCAGCTGAGGAAACTCGGTGGTCAGGGAAGCACCCTGGCAAGGCGTATCGGGAAAGGGAGAGCGTTCAATCATTCATGGTTTCTTGGAACTGGACCAAGGCACGCTTCGGGCATGAATCTACAGCTTCGAACTTTGGGGCAATCGAAGCTCTTCGAGGAAGTGCAGGTGCATCGGCTGTGCATGTACGCATGTAAGTTCGTACGTACGGACGTATGTATGCACGCGCTATATACACGTGTAGGGATAGATGTACATGCCATGCGGACATATAACACAAAACGGCATAGCATTGTACAGCGCATTGCCATCGCATTTGCATTGCTTTGCATTTGCATTGCTCGCATTTGCATTTGCATGTGCATGGCACTGCATTACATCCACCCATCCATCCATCCATCCATCCGTACATACATAAATGCATGCATACATACATACATAAATACGTACATACATACATACATACATACATACATACATACATACGTACGTACTTACTTACCTACGTACTTACGGGCGCACATGGGGTACAAACGTTAAGCATGTCCGTGTGTATACATGTGTATATATATATACACATATATATATATATATACATATGTATATGTACGTCATATACATATATATATATATATACATATATATATATATATACATACATGTATATGTATTTGTAAATGTTTATCTACCTACCTATCTTTCTATCAATCTATCTACATGTGTGTGTTTGTGTGCAATATACATGTAGATACAGATACATATACAAATATAGGTATAAACAAACATATAGACGTGAATATAAATATGGGTATAAATATATACATAAAACTAGAAAAATATATATGTACAGACACATAGAGGTATGCACACGCATCAACTACTTTTTCTTCTACGTGGACTTTAACGTAATTTAATGATTACAGGAGTGTGTAGCTGCTGTCGAATATGCGTATAGATACATGTCTAAATCTTCATCTACATATCTTCTTCTATATCTATATATATATATATGTACACATATGTATCTCGTCCTCCTTGTCTCCCCCCCCCCTCACAGCCAGTTGTGTTTAGCTGTGCAAGTATGTACACACACCATGCATCTTGCCTGCCTCATACACCGGCACGGACACCTCACGTCGTGTGGCCTTGGGTGAAGCAGAACTTATCGAAACAATCTGGTTCACACTGCATCTACAAGAAGCGGGCATGCCAATCGTCCCTGCAAGCTCTGCAAGTAACAGCGCCCAAGCGTGACGCTAAGGCGGAGTCCTGGGGAGATGTTGCGAGCGCCTGAGGTGCCACGAGGATATTCTGGGCATGGGATGGGTCCCATGCTAGACCAATTCACAGGCCGCGGCAGGACTTGAAGAGCTGCTGGCCAGCATTCAATGAGTTGGGGCATCGGCAAACCGAAATCGCGGACGGTCGACCAAGGCCGTTTTGGATTGGTCTGTGATAGTATGAAGCGCATGCACACTCGTAGCACAACCCGATGACAAAGAAAGCGCAGTCAAGTCTTGTTAAGCTAGCTGCTTCCATAGGTGTCTACCATGTTGAGCCAAGCTTTGGATATGGGCAGTGACAGTCTTCGCTAGTCTTGCGGAATGCAGACACAAATTGAAACACATGCGCTTTCTCCAAGTCGATCAGTTCACCGCCCCCTCAGTCGAAGAAGGCTACCAAGCGCACCTAATGTCGGGCTTTTGCTGCAGGTACTGGACCCAGAGACTCCAAAACCCCTTAATTAAGGAATATACCTTAAAATATAATAGGATCCCTAATATGATTTAAGGTATATTCCTTAATTAAGTGGTTTTGGAGTCTCTGGGGAAGGCAATAACAGGTTGCTGAGCCTCGATGCTCTCTCGGTCTTTGGCATCTGAATCGCTTGCCTCAGGCTTTCACGGCTCTGCAAAGTGTAGTGCCCGATGCCCCATGGCCACAGAAGCCGAGAATGAGTATGCATGCATATTTACTTATATGTGCATGTATATATATATATATACATACACATGTATGGAACACACTACAGACATATGATGACAGATGGGTGTACGCAAGGAGAGGTGCAGGCATAGATGTATGACAACATCATGGAGCATTTCGTGACAGAAATAACCGAAAATGAGTCCTGAGTACGGCTGAGGTCAGGGCCACCTCTTCGAAGGAGCCATGCAAGGAAAACGTCGCCGGCACCTCCTCGGCAGTGCCCTCGGGCTTGAAATCCCTGCCTCACGAGGCTTTATGGGGGTTGAGGGTTTCGGACCTCCTTATGTCCAAGTATCGGAATTCTTCGGGCGACCTTAACCTTTCTGGCACCAAACCAAGGCCAAACAGACTGGGGAGGACCTCGGGAGTCCCAGCACTTCAGCAGCATCACCTCGTCCTTCTCCATCCTCACCCCAGGCCACAGCTTCTTCAGGCTTCGGGGCAGCAAGGAGTTTAGGTAGGGCTTTGGGTTTAGGGTTTAGGGTTTAGGGTTTATAGGGCCATTATAGGGTTTAGGGGTTTGCAGGTGCTTTCAACAGAAAGCCTGAGCAAGGAGCGTCTACGTTCCGAGGCCAAGAAATGTCAACACCATTGCCTTGTTGCATCGAAGCACTGTGGACATGCGAAAGAATCCACCTGCATCCTCATCATCGTCCTCATCAGATCTATGTTTCCCCCCGCCCTTCATACTCGCACCCGGAAGTGCGGGCTATCATAAGGTTTGCTTTGGTAACTAATACAAGACTACTATGAGGTCACTATAACAGGGTAACTCAGTATAGGCGTTTCCATAACAGTTACTTGCGCACATATCAATCAATATAAACCTCAAGACGTCCTCGGGAAGCAGAACCAGCGCTGCTGCTGGGAGTACCTCGCAAAGTAGTTCTCTCCTGCAGGGGATCAGCAGTTGCATTTGCTTCAAACTCGTGCCAAAGTTGGTGGCCTGTGCGATCTGCATACCTGATCTCAAAGACAATCAGGTCATCAAGCGCCTCGGCTGTAGCTCCAAAACCCAGTGATCTAGAAACTAGAAACCAGGCATCACCGGTCAACATCTCAAACCCTTGGCTCGCTGCTGTGGACTGTGCGTCGCAGGCAGCCAGAGGAAAGCTCTCCACCGGTGTGTCTGCAATGTTACGCCAAACCTGGCAGCTAATCCGCACAAGAACTTGCTGCCGACGGAACTGAGACGAAGGAAGGGGCCCCCGGCATTGACAAACAGCCAACGCTTCCGCAACATCTGATCCTTGGGGTCGAACACTCATGATGCATATGCTTTGCAGCGAGGCTCTTGGCATGGACCTTGTTAGTTCCGAATTGTGGTCCTTGCCAGGGTCTAACCCGAGTGCTAAAGCAACTCTCACATGACATGAAGCTAGGGACGCTGCCACCTCTGCGGCATCAATCAAACTCGATCCATCGGCATTTCGTCGCGTGTCGTTCTTGCTTGGAGGCTTTGCCAGCCTGCAGTCAGTGGGAGTCCAACATGGGCAAGTGCATGTACGGAAACGTCACGGCCAATGCCCGGTAGACCCGGGCACGAACCAGGGATCCGATAATCTACGGCGGCGGAGGAGATTTCGTTTGCTTGACACGGTCTCCCGCTTTGGGCTGGGGCATTAGGAGGAAAGCAGTCAGACAAGTGGGCCCCCAAAGCCTCAACACTTGAGGAGTTTGCATAGAGTCACCCCATGCCCTGACAAGGAAACCCCGAAATTTTGAAAGCAAGCCGCCCAAAAAAACGTGAGCCGTTCAAAAAAAACTCGTCACAACACCATATGATATCTGATGGGTAGCAGGGCCCCGGCTGGCGAATTCGCTGCTCAGACGACGTTACGGTGTAGTCCTGGGGCTCTGGGGCTGTGGGGCTTTTGAGGGCTTTGGGCTTCATCGAATTTTCGAGCTTGAGTCCGGTTTTTCAGATTTCGGCTTATAGGTTTTGGGATTTCAAGGTCGGGGTTTTCGGCTTTTGAGATCAACATGTAAGGCTCGAGCACGGTGCTTCAGAAATGCTATAAACCTAGGCCTTGCGACCAAGGTGTCCGCGAAATGCTGACACCAGACACCGCAATCTCGGGGTGTGCTGTCTGATCGAGAATCCACCTCGACGAACTGTCAGTCCGGCTGTCCCCCAAGCGAGAAAATCTCAAATGGGCAGAAACCATCGGAGTTTAAGCCAAAATCACCAGGGTCCACGAGCTCAGGGTCATCATGTAATGAAGATTTTTTTCTGGAAGTCACCGGGTTGAAGCCCTGATTGCTCCCATAGCTCTTGCCCAAGCCGCTAACCGTACCTTCCCGCCGTTGCTTCGCCCTGGCCGCGCCCCTGCGACACACCCCCAAACTCTCCCAAAAAAAGAGCCCCCCAACCTGTAGACCCCGTACCAACCCTGCATGTCTACAAACCGAAAGCCGAGGTGCGTTGTGGATGCCGTAGCTGACCAGAGGCTCCTGCACGGCGCTCCCGCCACGAAGGCCTCGGGCTCCGAGGAGGGTGCTTTACAGCGTTTCAATGGAGGGCTTGGGATTTGGATCCAGGAACTCGTTTCTCGATCATACGGGACTCTGAGGATGCCACGATCACCAGCCTGCAGCCAGAAGAGCAGCAACAGCACCCATAGATGCATCAATGTCGGAACACCCCGCCCTGTGCTGGCACTGCTGCATGTGGGTGGACATGTGGGAGTTTCCAAAAATTAGGGTACCTTATTTTGGGGTCCTTATAATAAGGATCCTATTATTTAGGGTACTATATTAGGGTCCCCTATTTTCGGAAATCCCCATGTGGTTGTCGTCTGGCACTTCCTCTTCGGATCTTCGGGCGCAGCTTTTACATGCCAAAGCTTCAGAGGCGAAACAGCGACAGGATCTGGAAAGTCCTTCTGGGTGGGGCATCGTCGGGGGGCGCGCCTGCTTTCGCTGCTTTGCGCGAATGTTGTGATCAAAGGCCAGGGCCCTTGATGCACCTGTTGCTTTGCGCACGATGTCCTGAGCTCTAGGCAGCGTGAGCTTTTGCGAGCAGGAGTAACAATATCAAATCCGGCCTCACACTCACTGTAGTAAGTCTCGACGACCATCTCATTGTCGTAGTAGTCGATGTGTGCCCAAGACTTACAGACAGGAGCACAGGCAGCAAAATCAAGGAAGAACTCTAGAGACAAATGCGAATCCAGAAAAAGACAGATCACATCAGACAGATCCTCTGAGCGGCAACCCTGGAGTTTGAGAAAAGCTGCGTGCGGGAGTAGGCAGAAGCCGTTCTCATCCAGGTTCAGCTTCTCATCTCTCCCGTTGGCGATGGGCACCTACCCGGATCTGCATGATCTCCCAGATTCCGTTTCGACAACCGAACAACAGGGTCTTCATCAAGAGGGGATCTCTGTTCAGGAAGGAAACTCTCCGACCAAGCCGTAATGCACATGTCTGTACATATGTGTGTGTATATATATATATATATTTATATTATATGATATTATATTATATTATATTATATTATATTATATTATATTATATTATATTATATCATATTATATTTACATATGCCCCGATGATTTAAGGTCTATTCCTTATTTAAGGGATATTGG